CACCCTTCTATGCTTCCCCATCCACTGACATCCCTCCCTCAACAGTTATATTTGGATTATCCTTTGCAAAGGTCCCCCTGTTGCAATCCACCTCTGGATTGCCTTCTCAAACACAGTGGCTAGAACTATACCTGGAGATGCAGCAGTGGCATAGCCAGCCAAGGCAACGCAGGACCGTGCGTGACAGAGAACGGACATGACTTAGTTCACCACTACCCTGCTGAAGGTCAGTCCCTGCACACCAGGTAACCAGAAGGCAGGCTGCGCTGCCAGCGAGGCTCACCTTTGTGGCAGACAGGCTTGAGAACACCTTATGCTCCTGACAGCTCCCAAGAGTTAGTATGGCTTGTAAGACCCAAAGGAGTACAAGCCCAATAAATGCTTTGATAAATGCACTGCCTTTTTTGTCCCCCCAAGTGGCTGAATTGGGCAACTTTTGGAGCTCAAACAATCTCACAAATCCCAACATGTATCCGCATGGAAGGATGGGTTAAACCAGTACAGCTTAACGGAACAATTGCAGTGTTTTCCTGGTGGCCTTGCAGAGCTTTCTGTGGACTACAGCCTAGGAATCAAATGCACAAAAGTATTTAGAAAGAGATAAGAACAAACCTAAGCTGAGTACTTGCAATCTCAGTTATTCCTTACTGCAAAGCAATATAAAATCAGCATTGTTCACTGCCACCTTGCAGAATGAAGTTCTTTAAAGGTGTCTGGAGACAATGAAGCTCTAATTTGCACAACACAAATGAGATACAAACTCCTCTGCTACCTCTTGTCCCTTCCACACAGCTAGACTTGTCTTTCACAAAGAAGAAAGGTTCCTCCTTTATAGTGGACTTCAGAAACAGTGAGAGGTTCAGCTTGCTCTCCTCCTTTAATTGAGCTCTAAGTTACTCACTGGGCCTGAGAGTACGAAGGAAGTGGTTGCACAAAAACTCCAGAGATCACCTTTGGTCCTATATTCTGTTGCTGATGAAAAGATTTTAAGAATTAAAGAAAGAGTCAACATATTCTTTTCTTCAACAAGTAACAGAAGTTTGTAAGAAGAAAAGATGGATACTTCTAGGTTTTATAAACAGAATGAAAGGAATTCCTTCTCACCCCACACTTTCCTATTCCCGCCTCCTAAACAACCACATTACAGGTCTTCTGTTTCTCTAAATTGGGACAGACAGGCACAATCAACTGTTCTTGCCACACTCCTGCACTTCCTGAAAAACAACTCAGACATTTCCCATACTTTAGTCGGAGAACTAAGCTTTGCTAACCAGAGGATGAAACATGCAGATAACTTACGATGTAACATCTGAATTCCTGAAGCATGGGGAAACCCACTTCTATATTTCAAGAAGTCATTTACTGTCCAGGATGACCCTTTTGGGTTTAGCCTAAATTGTCAGGCTGCGATTTCCAAAACCAAACAGATTTCCTGGGGTAGCTAAGGGCATCTCCTACCTTTCTGCACCGTTGGAAATTCAACACCCCAGCATCCCATCACACTTCATCTTCAGTTCTGTAATCCTGCTCATGGAAGAGAGCACAGTGAATGCATCACAGGAGAAAAAATGAGGAGAAATATAAGTTAAGACTGCAATGACTCAATACAAGAGGGGAGAGGTGATTTCTCTGCCAAGAGACGGTACAACAACAAAAAAAATAAATCTGTCAGCTCATTCCTCAAAGGCTTCTGCAGCACACAGATCTCAAACAGTATTTTTACAGCATCATTTTCCTCCTCAGAAAGTATAAAGTCACCCTGCTGCCTTCATGGTAAGCCTGCAGAGTTACTCAGACAAATGCATAAATAGTTATTTTTCTATTACTATGATTATAGTTATTCATCTTCTCTGGATTTAATCTTCCTCAAAGATTACTGGACCTAGGCATTAGACACACAAAGGAAAGAGGAAGAGACCAGGACAGGCAGAATTAGATTAAACATTCCTGTCTCCACTCAGCACTAGAGTTGTTACATACAGCTCTGACTGCTAACATACTAGGTTGATTTAGAGCCCTTTTTTTCTAACTGAAATAGCTACATACAGCAATATACAAACTGAACATAAGACCTTGGAGGGACACTCAAAATTCTGCCCCTACAGTTTAGTTAGAAACTCCTGAGCTAGGTTTAAACCAGCTAGCCCTTGTATGGCTGCAGTAGCATGGACCTGGAGTCAGTCTTGTCACCAGAAGCATCATATTGCGTTTTCATGCTGGAAAATTATCAAGTCCAAAGATGTGAATCTGAGGGTCCTAGCATGAGGCTTATATAACAATTCAGGTACCAAATTCTATCAGCTCCCATCATCTCCTGCTCACATTCTTCATTGCATCTGGCTCTTAGGAACTAAAAACAGAAAGGCATTTGTTACAAGATCAAGATGAAGATTCACCATATGTAAATAAAGGAAGAGAAACACTTGAGAACACCTGGTGATACAAAGAAAAGGATAACAGAAAATAATAAAAAGGCAAATGTAATAGTTAATAAATTCAAATAGCTAGAAATAATTTTCAAATCATATTCTTGTAAGGAAGAAAGTTCTTTAGCACTATCACATCTTCATGTAAAACATGCTATGGAAGTGCAAAGTATGATTTCAGCATCATCATCCAAGCATGCAGCATACTGAGGAACACGAGCATGACACAGAATCCCATGATCCACCTACACTTTCCCTTACACATGGAAAGCCCACAACTGTATGCATACATGCTGCAGTTTGCTTTGAGTAGAACAGCATGGGCACAATCTGACTTTCTAGGAAAGATACTGAGTCAGACTAAAGGTCTCTCTAAACCTGGAAGCTAATGGATGCCACCAATGCGATGAAGAGCACAGAACAACATAGTCACGAATGCCTAAAATATTGCTCCACTTTTCAACACTTCATGGCTGTATTCACTAGTATGTTGACAGATTTCCCCTGCCCCCCTATGTTTTTCCCCAACTCTTTAAATCCATATAATCTTTCAGCATCCAAAAATCCTGCTGCAAGGAGTTCCTCAGCTTCCTCACACATTGTACAGACTCCTCCACTGTCACACGCTATGTATATTTAATGT